CTGGGCCATGAGGTTCGCCTGCAAGACAGAGCCCTGGGCTGCTGACTATCGGCCTGGGGGGGCAGGAAGGGGACCCCCGGCCCCCGGCCTCCTGTTTTCCCTGGCGTGTGTGTGCGTGTGTGTGCGTGTGCGTGCGTGTGTGTGTGTGTGTCACTGTCACCGTGGGAAGCCAGGTTCTCCACGGGCCCCGGGGCAGCCGGCAGCCTGGGGTGAGAGGAGGGGCGAGAGGAGAGAAGAGATTGTGGGCGAAGATAGAAAAGGCTCCAGGAGGGGCCGAGCCGAGCGGGCGGAGGGGCTGCCCGAGACCAAAGTTCAGGGGCCCCAGGCCGGGGCCCAGGTGAGGGGGGCCGGGAGGAAGCCCCAGGTGGCTGTTGTGTGTGGAAGGGCGGGGACCGCACGCAGCCGCCACCTGTCAGCCCAGCCCCCGTGAGGCCTCCTCTCTGAGAGGCAGCCTGAGGCCGCGTGCAGCGGGGGGCACCCAGGGGAGCCCCAGGTGAGACCCTCTCCTGACTGCCAGCAGCCTCCCCTCACCCCCAGTCCATCCTGGCTTCGGGGGTCTCATCCAAGGAGGGAGATTTGGGGGTGTTCCTTCCTCCTCGGCCCATCCCCCCAGCTCCCCAACCGTCACAGGAAATGGCCTCACCGAGCCGACCTCAAATGGTGCAGCCGGGGCTGGGGCAGGAGAGGGGCACAGAGGTCTGGTACCACCTCCTCTTGGGGGGCAGTCCGCGTGCTCCAGGGCCAGGGTCATGACTTCTGAGGTGTGTGTGTGTGTGGGGGGGCTGGGGCTGGGGGCTTAGAGTCCCTAAGGCCACAGAGGCCCGGGTGAGGAGGGCTGAGCGGCCCGTGCAGGTGTGAGGGGTTCAAAGGGGCTCCTTAGCTCTGCTCCCCCCGCAGCCCCCATTCTCCCCGTGCAGGGACCTCGGCTAGATCTGCACCCGTCTGCCCGCCGGGCCCGTGGCACCCAGTGCAACCTCCTCCGAGACCCCCCGCCCGTCTCCCTGGGGTTCCCGCCATCCGCGGGGCCACAGGCCGCCTCCTCCCCTCTTGCCGGACTCACCAACACAGCTGTGTCCCCCGGGCTGCCTCTGGACAGCTGTCTGTCTGTCTGTCGGTCTGTCTTTGAGGCGAAGGAAGCTTCAGGAAGCCAGCTTCCTCCCTCCGCCCCTCCTCGCTGCCACCCACGCACACCCAGCTGCCTGCTGCCCTCCTGTCGCCGCCAGGGGTCGGTGCCTCCTGCCG